ATAAATAAATTTTAAAAACTAAAAATAATAATTATATTAAGAAAACATTTGGACTGTTAGTTACAATTAATTTTAGATGTTACAATTAATTTTAGATGGCTCAAATGGATGCTTTACACCTCTAGACAGCATATTGTAAGAATGCGATCCGGCCCACATAAAACAAATGTTCTTCCACAAAATGGTACGTAACTTGTATCTTGATGACATTATAATGCTCAACCCGTATTAGAAGTGGGAACATGCGTAAAATATAAACTTTTGCAGTTTTTTTTTTGAGAGGTAATTCAACGGGGAAGGCATATTTTTTCAAATAGATTAGAAGTTCGTTTTTTGAAGTTTTTGAAAGTTATTACTGATGAAAATGAAAACCACAATGTGGTGATTAAGTATGGGGTGCTGCTACCACGACCCAAGCTACTTTTTCATAAAATCAAAAAGTGTACAAAGTTATCCTGCATATCTCCAATACTCCGCTCAACTTAAAAGTTGCTTAGATGTTAGAGGGATGAGATGAAAAGAGCTAAAAATTGTTAGAGAAGTCAATCTATTTTGTAAAATCATTAAAGGGAGGGCTTTCTATATGAGCCCACCCACGTATATATGGTATATGTAATCCTTGGTCTCACTCATCAGATTCGAGTAGATAGCGGAGATGGCTTGAGTCATAGTGTCGCAAACTTGCACTTAATTATCAGATGTTGATCAAACGGCTCATAGTGTTTTATTTTTTATTTATTTTTATATATAATTTTGAAGCAAAATTCGAAGAATCTGACAAGGGCGCACATGATAAAAAATATCAAAAATTATTTTCGGAAATAAAAATTTACCAAAATACCCCTAAAAATTTCAGGGACATTTGGTCATTTAGTTTTGCACGAAGTTTTTGCTTTTTTTTTTCTAGGTTTGCCAAAATTTATTGGTAGGACACCCAAAATTTTCATCCAAAAATATTTTGTAGAAAAAAATAAAAAATAAAACAGTGTTTGATGTGACATTGTGGTATACCTAATAGTAGCCATTTGATCCAGATCGAACGGCTAAAAAGTGGTGTCACATATAATTTATATGTTGTTGGGATCACATAAAAACATTTCTGATCATTAAAAAGGCTCAATGATCTTATTTATCAATGTAGAGTTTATCTTTTAAAATTATTTGATAAAAGAAAAACTTTCATATAAGGTTGCAACTTTATACTATAGAAATAAGGTGCATCTCAAAACTTTAGTAGAAAATAATGTTCCGAAGGTGGCAAACATTTCAACTGATCATGTCAACCTCAAGAAGTATGGTATAAATAGAACATAAAAAGATTAAGTCCTAAAACTAGTTCATCCTGTAATAAGTTATCTGAACCATCTATTTTCAAGAAAAAAAATTAAATATGTGCCTTACTTTGATAAAATGAACATCTCAAAAAAGTGCAAATGTTTGTAAAATTACCCGTATTTCAACATTGGAAATTCTGAAAATAAAGAGAATTTTGATAATTTGACCCACTTGGCTCGAAGTATGCAAAAAATATATCCTAGTTCTTTTTTTTCTTTTTTTTTTCATAGAAAAAAAATCCTAGTTGAATAAAATGGATGAATGCCCAAAAAACGCATAGTTCCTATTATCAACCAGGGATATTTCATTATTCAGTAGTTCTATGTTTGTAAAGCGAACTTGTAGATGTATTTTGTAGTGTGGCTCTATTTAATTAAAGAAAATGTATACAATGAAACTATTAACTTTTAATACAAGTCATAATCACATCAGCTGTTCTATTCGAAATCGGGTAGTTGAGGATGTGTTATTGTTTTGGCACAAAATCCAAAACAAAATTTTTTGAATATTATGATATATTTTTATCTATTGGATTTCACATTGAGTGGCTAAAAGTATGTAGATAGAAAATTTCAATTTTTAATTAATGATCGAGTGGATTTAGTATCTTAACCGAAAACTTTTTTTTCTTAAATATGATATGGATATGAAAATAGTATCTAATGGGAAGTTGAATTTTTAGCCATGATAGACTTAAGAAAAGTTTCCATAGGCCACTAGGCATACGAAATTTATATATACCACTCTCCCTAACCTTCAGATCTTGGTGAATGGCTAAAAAACCTTCCACCATAATGTTAGAAATTAACCTTGACCTTTGATTTTGACCTGATAGCTCACGATTTTCTATTTTTAACTTTTCATGTAAATCCGATGAATATGAAATTTGGTATATATGATAAGGCGCACCGAAAAAAGTAATAAAAAAAAGTATTTTTCATAACTAAAGTGATCAAACTGTCCTAAAAAGTTTAGGAATATTTTCATAGGTGCGAGCCTATCAAGAAGATTGGAAGCCCAAAATTTGGTGTCAATATAGTTTACAGAAAAAATAAAAATACAGCAGTGTTTAAGCATGATATTGATCATCTCAGCCGTCCATCGGAGGATGTGGAGAACTCTTTTCATATACACTACATGGAAAGCTTGCTGAAAAAATTTAGGAGAAAGATTGAACAAATAGATTACATGCTTCCAAGGGAGCAAACTATTCATATACTCCCTCAGGCAAAACAAAATCTAGGAGTATTTTAGGACCCCAAATTTCCGGGATGTAACACTTTCATCCCATATACTATATACATCAAAAAATAATTCAAAATTGCATTCTCTAAGTAAATCTACAAATGAAAGGTGAGATCCAAGTATTAGAAAACACAGAATTTAAATTCTCTTCGCTTGGGTGAGATCTAAGTATTAAAAAATTAGGATTCTGCCAATGGGAGACAAGTGTACAGTGTACTCCCGAGGGGGCATAGTTTACATGTCAAAGTTTCAATGTGTTTGAACTTAAATCTCACAACCTAATTATTAGCCTTTAGTAAGGAAGTCAATGAAACATATATATATTCATAACTTAAGATTGAAATGTAATGTACCTAGGCGATGCGATCCATAATCGAGCTTATTTATTTAGATAAGATAAATTGGATTAGGTGAAAATTTGGAATAGCTGATGTCTGTACATTATTAAATTTGAGGTCAATGGTTATGGAAATTACTTGGAGAGCAAGTATGGGTTCATAAATTTGTTCAATCCAACATAATAAATATGACATAGAATATAAGTTTAATCAATGAATTGCTCCAAAGACAATATTTGATTAAACAAGAAAGGTCAGCAACCACGTTTAGTAATCCACTCAATATTTTTTTATTTTTTTATTTTTCTTTTGTTATATGTCCTAGCACATGATGTCAATACTAGCTTCTTCTTTTCTTTTTTTTTGCTTTGGGTAATTCAGTGGGCAAGACAGATCCCTACATGTTATTTCAAGAAGATTAGAAGTTAGCTTTTTTAAAGTATTAAGAAGGTGGTGCTAGTAGTAAGAATGAAAACCACAATGTGATGACTATATGGAGTGCTATCACTACGATCCTAACCCTTTTCCAAAATATTAGCTTATGAATTTAAGTAATTTTTTTTTTTCTTTTTAAGATCAAAAGTTTAATTTTAGTTTCTTTTATTATTACTGTCAAAGTAGTGTACAGGTGTTGAAATGTGTGCAGCTGGGATCTTGAGCGGATCCCAACTTTAAGAGGGCACCATGTTCTGACTGGAGCCTACTGTAATCTTACTCTCTCCGTCAAAAGACTAATTTGGGAAAATGGTTTTTTGGGAACCATGTATAAATCAGTAGGATTTGAATTTTTGAGCTTTCTGATACATAAATCTCATCGTTCAAAAAATGGACGGTTTCTATTCAATCTTAAGTTCTTTTTTTTCATTCGATAGAGAATGTATATATTTTTTGGTTGGGACGCATATGGGTTAAGAGGTTAAGTACTCTTAGATTGGGTTTTGTTGATGGAGTAAATCAACAATTTACTTCCACCGAAGCATGAGATCTTTTGGCCTTTTTCCATTTTTCTAGTTCCCTAGTTTTATTTCTTGATGAAGTACGTATAGAGCTCAGGCTCTAAACAATTAAATTAGAGCCTTCAAATAATGTCGAGAAATATGGTTTTAAATACTGCAAATCATTATGATGGTCCTAAATTATATTTTCATCTTTAATTATAAGATTTAAAGCTTCAAAAATAGTGTAGATCGAGCAGATCTATGAAAACTTGAAAATCTTGAAAATTGACGGTCCAAAAATATGTTACAAGATGCACTATTTCCAAACTTAAAATCTATTTTTTTTCTCATGTCCATGCATCTTGATGTCAAGATAACCAATTTGAGGATATTTAGGCATCAAAACAACCTTTCCTAATTAAATTTTTGATATGGGCTTTAATTTGATTATTTAGAGCCTCGGCTCTATATAAACTCTTTCTTTTATTTTTATTGAGGGGTACGATTTGTATGGAGCCTAGGCTCTAAACAATCAAATTAGAGCCTACCTTCAAATAGCATCGAGAAATGTGGTTTTAATATTGGAAAACTTTATGATAGCCTTAAAATATATTTTCATATTTATTTATAAAGTTTAAAGCTTTAAAAATAGTATAGAAGATCTATGAAAAGTTGAAAATCTTGAAAATTGACTGTCCAAAAATATATTATAAAATACATTATTTTCAAAACTTGAAATCCATTTTTTTCTCATGTCCATGCATATCGATTTCGAGATGATCAATTTGAAGATATTTGGGCATCAAAACAACCTCTTCTAATAAAATTTTTGATGTAGGTTCAAATTTGATTGTTTAGAGCCTCGGCTCTATATAAATTTTTCCCTTTATTGAGGGAGCCCATTTGCGAGTCATCTCTCATAAATATTATTATTATTATTATTATTATTATTATTATTATTATTATTATTATTATTATTATTATTATTTGGCAGGTACTGTTGTGGAGTTGAAAAGTCGGGCAAAAACTCAACAACCCCAAGGAACATTCATAGTCCAAGGCAACTTTTGTTATTGATTAACACCACCTAAAAACTATAAAACGGTACATGACTCTCACGCGTCGGCAAGGAAAACACAACAATGGCAAGTGACGATGACCAAAAAGTGAGAGTGTTAGGAGTATGGAACAGCCCCTTTAGTGCTATGGTGAAGCTTGCCCTAAAACTGAAGGGAGTGCAATACGAATATATAGAAGAAGACCTTCAAAACAAGGGCCCCCTTCTTCTAGAGTCCAACCCTGTCCACAAGAAAATTCCGGTGCTCATACATGGCCGTAAACCGGTAGCTGAATCAGTGGTGATTTTGGAGTACATAAATGAAACATGGCCGGAGAACCCCTTGTTGCCAAACGATCCCTATGAAAGGGCCCAAGCTCGATTTTGGGCCAAGTTCATCGAAGAGAAGGTAAAGTGCTTTACTTTCTTGTAGAATTCAGATTATAGCGTAGTCAAAATGTTATTATGCTATTGTAGGAGTGTAAATTCCATTCACCCACTCGGGTAAATCTCTATCAAGAACTATTTTTCGGACTCCATATTCTTTATATTAAAGAGATACCATCCAAATTTTGAATGGTCATGTCTAAGTTTGTATAAACTAAAAATACAAGTTTTTTTTTTTTTGTCGCAAATTGAAAAAGTCTTTATATAGCCTAATGCAAAAAAGCAGCAAAGTACAGCAAAGTACAGTGTTTCTTTTCTTTTCCTTTTTTTTTTTTCTTGAGAGTAATAAGTGAGGAAGCCAAACCCCTATCCATTTTTTCAGATAGATTAGGGAGCTTTTTTTTTCTTTTTTAGTGGGTGGTATCAGTAGGATTCCCATTTTTAATATATATATATATATATATATGGAAAATGTTGAGATTAGCCCACTAGCTCATATGAATATATGAGCTCAAAAATTGGGCCGATTTGACGGTCACGACTTTTTTTCGTGTTTAAATTTTAATTGTTTTTATACAAATCCAAATAACTTGAAATTTAAGCGTCCATGCTTCTCATCAAGATGCACTTAATAAAATATTTAAAAAATAATTCACAATAAATAAATTGATTAAAATGCCCTTGAAATTTTTCAGGGGTATTTTGATCAATTTATTTCTTGTAAATTATTTTTTTGTTGTTTTTATTAGGTTATCCTATTTTTTAACAACACATGCCTACAATTTAAATTGTTTAGATTTGTAGAAAAAACATTAAAATTTAAATACGAAATGAGGTCGTGACCGTCAGATCGGCCCCGATTCAATTTGGGCCATTGGACTAACTTATATATTCATATGAGCTAGTGGGCTAATATCAGCATTTTCTATATATATATATATATATATATATATATATATTATATGTTTTCTTTTCTAGACTCTTAACACGCGAAAGATAGTCATCTCGACCATTGGAAAGAAAAATTTGTTGCTGGTTTACCATATTTATTTGCCTAAAAAGTCCGAACCAGATTAAAAAATAAACATGGTGGAAATATACAATATTCTGCTTATACTTTAAAAGAATTATCAGCAGAAATATGTACAAAAGGATTAGCCCTTTGTACAGATATGAAATTAAAGAAACAATTAGATAAACAAAACATGAAATGTAAAAAAGAATTAGGTGATTTTTATCAACAATTTGGTTATAGTATCGAACAAAGCAAAGACAATCTCATAAACATAAAAAATATAAACCAGATAAGAAGGAAAGAAAATTGTACAAAAGAAATAAAAAAGAAAAATATATCAAAAAATTCTTACCAAAAAATCAATATAAAAAGTGAAAGAAAAAGATACCCATCTGCTATAAATGTGGCAAAGTAGGCCACTATAAAAATACATGCAAAGTTAAAAAAAAACTAGATGCAATCATATTAGATGAAAACATAAGAAATCAAATATATGATATCATCCAATTAGATCATATAGAATTTACTTCAAGTTCAGATTCAGATAGTAGAGATATTTCTCTCATAGGGCAAATAGAAGATGAAAATATTATAATTTCAAGCTCTTCTGATATGAAATATTCTTGTAATATGATATCTTGTAATATGTTATCAAAAGAATACTCATTAATTTTAGATCTCATAGACAGGATAAATAACCCTGATAAAAAAAGAGAAATCCTAACTCAGTTTATTAACCTTACAAAAAATAAACCTAAAACTACTTCTTTAATAAAACCCCCGGATGAATATAATTTTTCTGATATAATGAAAAGAATAAGTCAAAAAGAAAACATACAAAAAGAACCTACTATAGTTGAACTAAAACAAGAAGTCAATGAGGTAAAAATAGAAATAAATCATCTCAAAAATAGAATTAAAATATTGGAATTACAGAATGAGGTTAATGGAGAAATAACTGATTCAGATGAAATTGAATTTACCCAATTAGTAGAAACACCTGAGTCATCAGGAACAAAAATAGAAGAAATAGACAATAATACATCTGTGAATATACTAAACAAAATAATAACTCAAAAATGGTTTGTAATAGTTAAAATTATTATCAATCAAGAATACGAGTTTCATTCAATAGCTCTCATAGATTCAGGAGCTGATTTAAACTGTATTAATGAACGATTAGTACCAACAAAATATTTTGATAAAACTACTCAAATATTAAATACAGCTGATGGTAGTAGATTATTTATTAAATATAAATTATCCAATGCTGTAGTATGTAATAAATAACATTGTTTTCCTACACCTTTTATTATGGTAAAAGGACTGAGTCAATCAGTAATACTAGGAGTTCCATTTCTTACTTTACTATATCCAATACTAATCACTCATACAGGAATAGAAACCATAATAGCTAGAAATAAAATCATATTTGAATGTATAGATAAACCCAAACTTAAAGAAATTAATAATGCCAAAACAATTATCCGAAATAAAGAAGCATTTTTGCACTAATTAAAAGAAGAAATTCTTTATAAAAATACTGAAAAAGCATTACAGAAAGAAGAAATACAAAACCAAATTAAACAAATTAAATAAAAAATTGAACAAGAAATATGTAGTGAAATACCAACTGCTTTTTGGATCAGGAAAAAACATATCGTAGGATTGCCATATGAACCTGAATTTGAAGAATCAAAAATACCAACTAAGGCAAGACCTGTCCAGATGAATTCTACTTTATTAGAAACTTGTCAAAATGAAATAAAAGAATTATTAGCTAAAAATTTAATGAGACCAAGTACATCTCCTTAGAGCTGTACTGTATTTTATGTCAATAAAAATGCTGAAAAAGAAAGATGTGTGCCAAGATTAGTTATAAATTATAAACCATTAAATAAAGTTCTCCAATGGATACGATATCCAATCCCAAATAAAACAGACCTATTAGATAGATTAGCCAAAGCCACAATCTTTTCTAAATTTGATTTAAAATCAGGCTATTACAAAACTGCATTTAATGTTCCATTCGGACAATACGAGTGGAATGTAATGCCATTTGAACTAAAAAATGCTCCATCAGGATTTCAAAAAATTATGAATGAAGTATTCAATCCATATTACAAATTCATGATTGTCTATATTGATGATGTTTTAGTATTCTAAGAAAATGTAGATCAACATTTCAAACATATTAATGTTTTTACCAATACAGTAAAACATGCAGGATTTGTAGTCTCTGCTAACAAGATTAATCTATGTCAAAAGAGAATCAGATTTTTAAGACATCATATTCATCATGGAACAATTATCCCAATTGAAAGATCTATTCGATTTGCTGACAAATTTCCAGATATTATATTAGATTATATATATATATATATATATATTGTTAATGGGTGACGTGAGCAGGATTGAAAACCACAATGTGGTAACTAGGCAAGGGGTGCTACGAGCATTACCCAGCCCCTTTCCTAAGTGCAGTGTGTTTCCCTAATAGTTTAGGTGCTCTTGGGCCTACTTTCCCCTTAAAGATGCGAAAGAAAGGCATAATAATTTGTCGTGCTTTACCTCATGTACAGTGTGGACGGGCAATCTGGACGGCTTACGGTACACAGGGGGAGGAAAAAGAGAAGGCCATCAAAGATGCAGAAGAGGGCCTCAAAATCTTAGAAGAAGGACTCAAAGGGAAGTTCTTTAATGGCGAAACAATTGGATTTTTGGACATCGTTGCATGTGGAATTGCCTTTTGGCTGCCTGTGTTAGAGGAAGCAGCTGATATCAAGTTTTTTGACCCTGAAAAATTGCCTCGCCTTCGTTGTTGGACTGAAGAATATACAAAGGTTGAACTGGTGAAGGAGGCTTTTCCACCCCGTGATAAGCTTCTTCCTGCCTTCAAAGCTTACCGCGACCAAATGTTTGGCCCTAAGGATTCTTCTACTTAGGGATGTAATGTTTGGCCCTAAGCTTATGTTTGTCTAGCAATGTAAATTGTCTATTTTTTTTTTTTAATATAACTACTTTAGAAGATTGGGTTTTATCTAGTTAAAGAGATTGGATGCTTCGTTTAACATGAAGGAAAGAAGTTAAAAAAACGTGAAGGCACAGGCATTACCATAGTTTTTGAAAGAAAGGCCAATGTGATCTTGTCGAGAGTATATATATATATATATTTTCCTTTTTTTTTTTTTTTTGACAAATATCATATATAAGTAGCTTTATTATAATGATTTTTGCTTCCAAGAATATAAAACCTTACAAATCCAAGATCTTAAAGACATTGATGCTATTAAGCTATTTTTTTTTAATCAAAGAAAATTACCACAAATCTTGTGCTTGATAATATAACAACTATACAATTAAATTTGTAAGAAACAAAAGAAGAATGCCGGAGATTACCTCAACCGGGTTTATTACATCCCACACCGAATCACCATCATCCGATGGCGAGGAATCGACAGTCTTCGTTCAATCTCAACCGGGAAAGCTATTTTCGGCCATGCTCTTCAATGGAAGACTTATGCTCACGTTAGATTCTTGGGATCAATCCCCCAAAATATTGAGGCAAAAAATTCTTGCTTCTTTATTTTTTTTGAGCCCTAAGTTTTTTAATAAAATTGGGATAGATGGTAATTTTTTTTCTCTAATTATGAAGAGAGAGGTGCCACCCCTATTTATTAGAGGTTGAAGAAGGGAGAGAATACAGGAGATGGGGCATGTCCCTTTTTGAGAAGATAAAGATGAGAGGGAGAGAGTGAATGACGAACGTGCCCCCCTTCTGATTAAAGATGCGGGAGAGAGAATGGGGGACGTGTCCCCCCCTTTTTGATAAAAAATGAGGAGAGGGAAATATGTGAGAGTAGTATGTGATAGAGAGGAGAGAGATATGAACCTATAATATTTGGTCTAGGGTTTTCATTGTTTGTCTCGATTGAATTTTATTGTCGATCAAGGGTAACTTATGGGATGAGAGATCTGAGTAATTCATTCCATAGATGGGTCATCAACATTACCAAATGTGCTGAACCATTATCCCCTTTTCTTTTGACCATTATCCCATCAAATAAAAATTAATCAAGAAAATATTGTGCTCTATCCAAAATATATATTCATAAGCCTCATAGGCCTATTAAAAGATTTACTCAAACCTCTTAAAGCTAAAACACTTTATCAACTCAAACCAATTTGAGATAAAATATATCAACAAATCCCGAGGTGCCACCCATGGGATAAGCCTTCCCTCAAAAGGTCGCGTGCCACCCAAGATACGGACTTATGGGCCATTCTCAAATATAGTAGGCCCACATGCACAATGGGCCTCCATAAAATTTAATATGTATTAAAAATAATAAAATAAATTTTAGAATATTATTTGAATATTTAAATAATTTAAAATCAATATCTTTAATTTATAAACCCAAATATTATAAATAAAATATCCAGGGGTTTATAAAAATTCAAATAAAAATTCTAAAATTATATCTACTATAAAATAAACATAATTAGATTAATTTGATGGGAAAATTATCCATATTATCGAGGAAGAAATCAATAATAGGGCACTCCACCTTCAACTGTGGACTACAGACCATGCTTGTTTTATCATGCCGACCCAGCGTTGCCCATGACCCACAGTCCAAGCAGGGGCTCATTAGCGGGTCAACAAAGTCTGGTCGATGAACTAAGGGGTCGCAATCTCAGTCTGTGGATTTCAGGTTCTCTCCTATAAACGAGTCAATGTCACCTAGACCTGATGTGACCACAGTTATATGGTGCATAAGGGTATCTCTCGCACATATATACGCTTCATCCTAAAAGGTGGCTTGCTTGCTTTCCTAAACAGTCTATCAATATGCATGCCATGTAATAGTACATGGATGACGCTTTGGCCCCTGTTTTCGTAGGCCATCATCACACACAAGGGTCACACAGTCCCTCGGATCACTCATCTGGACATATACTCCAACCTTATCAATAGATGTCCCATTAGAATTCTTCTCGGTTTATGCACTATGCCTAGGTAACATAGGTTTTTCTCAATCGACTGGTCTAGACCGTCAAGCACAGTCTGATATCTGTAAACATTGTTTGCATAGTATAGTCCATGAAGGACCACACTCCCACTGAGTTCATGATCCACTATATTAAATGTCTCTTGACAATCACTCATAAGGCCTTCAAAGGCTACATAAACCCATCTCTTACCTAGTCTTTGAAGGCTTTACATTCTCACATTCTCTCATCTCCATCTGCTTCTCCTAATCACTATCTCTCTCAATACGTGAATCATGGCTTTTGCCATCAATTCTTTCATAAAATGACTCATAGAGGCAATGCTTATTTCTCTTTGTTGCTCAGATCTCATCCCGAAAGTGGTGATAATTCATCTTTCATATCGCATAACGAATCATAGACCTGTTGTCACAAAAAATCATCATGTATCCTCATCGCATGGGCTTGTATCCTCATGGGCTCAGAGGAGTTCTTCAAACAAGCCACTTCTTTCTGTAGTCATACAACCATTGCCACACATTTGGGTTCCATGGATAAACAACACCATAGTCTGTTATTCAAGCTGGCCTGTCAAATAGTAGGTCCTCCCACCAGAATATTTAGTTTTATATGCTTTGAGTTATTATAGAATCGTGGCTCCCTTTTACACGTAAATTGCTACCTTGTTGTCGCAGAAATTCCTTACTGCCTCACAACGCACAGGTTGAAAATCAAGTTGATTAATAAATTTCTTAATTCATACGACCTCCTTGGCCACCAAATAGCATGCCATGTATTCTAACTTCAGGATGGACAATGTCACCGCATCCTGTTTTTTTGATTTTCAAGAAGCTATACTCCCTCCAAGTATGAACACGTATCCAGATGTAGACTTCACATCATCTGGATCTTTGAGATAGCTTACATATGTATATCTGAATATCCAAGTAGCTAAAAAAAACGTGGGACTATAACAGCTCCCACACAATTATTACACATACAATATATACAATCTCAACATTCTTATGCATATATCATGAGGTAGCATAGCAAGTCTCATGCAATAAATAATTCAATGCCCATTGATTTCACAATATGCAAAACTTTTATAAATCACAAAGGTTCAACCACACTAGTCATCTTGGTAATAAATCCATACAAATCAAGTTATCTCAAAACCATATAGTGTGGTACCTGAGCTTTCTTAATTCATTGCTTTTACAATCATTTGGCAATGTTGGAAGATCACATAATTGATAAAGAATATATTGGTCTTCGATTTCGTATGTCACGATGTGTCCATCTCTTCGGCACGTGGTCTCTTCCTTATATCATATTGAGAAGAAAAATGTTTTCTTCATCCTATCATTTCAAATATCACAAATTTAATTCTCCCACTGATCTTTAGCTTTTCTTTACTACCTCCAAGCATTTCTATGTATCCCTTCATTTCGAAGAAACCAAGAAGCTTTTATAGGTATTGTGTTTCTTCTTCTTTCTACTATTCCCATATTGAACATTCTTCATGTAGAGTATCGTACCTGGCCAACTATGTATTAGCTATCTTTGAAGTTTATTTATAATAAACCATACATGCGGCACACTATAAAACTCATTTTAATGAACCCTAAAAAACTCTCTATTACTGGGAATCCAAAGATGTACCTTAACATGCCACATCTTTTAATTTATACAGAATATAACATGAGAATTGCATGATAAAAATATGATATCTCTCAACTCATAAAGATTTTCTCTCCGAATCCTTTTGAGTTTTGAAATAGACTCAAAAATATAAACTAATTTATCCCTAAGTCACACCATTTAGTGAGTCTACCTTTTAGTGACTTTTTACGTCACAATGTAATTTTCTCAGCATAAAATTAGATTAAGCATATCTAAAAAAAAATTGTTTCTATCAAGCCTCAAAGAATTTCTTCCTTAAATATCTTGTTTTGAAAACTAGACTCAAAACCAAATCATAACATCACGGTGTGAATCCCAAATAATAACTTCTTTCAGAATGACATACACATCCCAAAATAACTCATACTGCAGAATTCTAAGATGAACAATGTCTAGTAAAATTGTATTTTCTCTCTACCTTTGAAGAGTTTTCCTTTCAAAGTAATTTTGTTTAAAAGTACACACATAATGGTAGCACATTTATTACTGCAAGCCTCATATCACTCTATTATGTAGGCTTTATAATTATATATATATAAGTCTCAATGAAGTGCACCCCTAATTGCAGAAAATTCAGGATGACCTCTCTTCAATCCAAAATTTTTATTCTAATATTCCCAAGATATTTCTCTCTCAAATATTTTTCATTAGAAATTAGACTCAAAATGGAAGTCTAGAAACTAGGTATGGTCCATAAAACATTATGTTAAGAATAGAAATAAAATCATGGCTTCCAAATCGTTGAAATAGTTTTAGTTGCAGAAAACAGCACTTGCGCACCCTTCAATAAATTGATCATATCTTTCAAATCACAATGAATATCTTGATGAAACCTTTTTTGTTTGAAAGTAGACTCAATTTTATGAGTCACATACTCAATTTTATGAGTCACAATCTAGTTTCATCTAGAAATAAAATCAGATGATTGATGAGAAAAATCACAGAACTCAATAGACAGTTCCTAGATTTTGCAGGGTCAAAACTGACACCATTCATTCATGAGTCCATAACTCTCAATTCCCTTAGGTTTTCCCACTGAAATTTTGCAAATAAATCCTAATATCAAAGACACACAAAACACTGAAGTATGCAATAGAAAAATACATCATTATCTTCTTCATATAACTGCTCCAAAATAACACAGAATACCAATTCTGCAGAGTGTCTTTTTTGGTGTATAGAACATTTCAATAATTCTTAATCGGGTTATATTAATCGATCACAAAGAATATTAGCTTTCTCATATCTCATTCCCAAGCTTGATCTCGACTAAATAAAGAGAAAAGAATCTAGTGGCATCAATATCAACCTGGCTCTGATACCAATGAAAGAAAGGCCAATGTGATCTGGCCGGGAAGGTTTTTTATTTTATTTTTCACCACTTTTCCATTGTTTTCTTTTCTTTTGG